GGGGGAGGGGAGGGGAGGGGACCAAATTCCAGAAACCTCCTGTCCAGCTGGTGCAGGCACCGGCTTGTAAAATGAACATAAATGGAGTCACGAACTCTAAAGTGGGCGGTACAGGATCGGGTACAGCGCCCCTGCTTCTGGTCGGGCTCCAAGCCCCCGACCTTCAGTGATGCAGCTATTACTTGCCTAGTAGTGTTCAGTCAGGTTTCCCACCCCCAACCTCGGGCTTTTGAGAGGATAAACAAAAAGCATCATGAGCCACATAGGCAGGGGAGAGCCTTGGGTTTCAGAAAGCACAGCGACTGTAGAGGAGGGGTGTGCCAGTTGGAGCCCACGTTGGAAATAGCATTACTTTTTATTTATTTATTTTTTATTTTTTATTTTTTTTTTTGGTCTTTTTGAGACATGGTCTCCCTGTAGCACCAGCTGTCCTGGAACTCACTATGTAGACCAGGCTGGCCTTGAACTCACAGAGATCCGCCTGCCTCTGCCTCCTAAGTGCTGGGATTAAAGGCGTGTGCCACCATGCCCGGCTTATTAATTTTTTTTAAGGATGCAAATACCCACACCCCTCCCAGCGTAAGAAGAGATCTGTCCTGTGTCTCGATTTTTAAGCTTGTGAGCCGGGGCTGGGCTGTATGTGCAGGGGTGGGGGTGGGGCTGTTTCCCTAAGGGAGTTCTTTTTGCAGGAGTCAGAACTGCTATTCATGGGTGCAAAAAGCAGAAAACAGTGAGTTTCTACTGTGTCCAGATAGCCGAACGCTTATCTAGAAGTCAAGATTTTGTGGTGCAATCGCAGTGCGTTCTTTGCAGCTTTGGAGCTGAAACACAAGAATTCTTGGGGGGGGGGGGGGGTCACATCGGGACAGACCGCGCAACAGTCTCTCTGCGCCTCCTGCCGGAGCAGACCAGCAATAGGAAAGTCTGCAAAGCTCTGGCCTGCGAACCTGGGCAATAGGCTCTCAGTTAAGATGCTTATTAGCAGCTGTGATTGTTGATAAAAATGCCTAAATTGAATTGCGCATTGGGTTTCAAGCACGGTGGGAATCCCTTTCCGTGTATTTAGTTCCGTTGTCTGTACTGATACCACCTGGGTTTACAGGTAAGGAAGCTAGCGGGGGTGGGGGGGGTAGCCTTCCATCTCAGCACTCAGGAGTGATGGGATACAGAATGAGATCATGTTTTTAAAAACGCTCCCCGCCCAAACAGAAGAACAAACTAATAAATATGAGCAGACTGAGACAAATCCAAGAAATGTCGGGCTTTTTGTTTGTTTTGAGCCAGGGTCTCAAGTAGCCCAGGGTGGCCTTGAATTCAGTATGTAGTCAATGATGACCTTGAACTCCTGCTCTTCCTCCCTTCATCTCCAGGGTGCTGGGATGACAGGTGTGTGTCACCATACCTAGCTCCATAAGGTGTTTTTGTTTTTATTTTTAAATTACTGCTGCATCCATAGAGGAAAGAGTATCAGGAGTTCAAGCCTAGCTGAGACAACAAAAGACCCTTCCCCCAAATTAAAAAGCTTTCATTTAGGGGCTGGAGAGATGGCTCAGCGGTTAAGAACACTGATTGTTCTTATAGAAGACCCGGGTTCGAATCCCAGCACCCACATGGCAGCTAACAACTATCGGTAACTCCAGTTCCAGGGGATCCGACAGCCTCTTCTGTCCTCAGCACGCATTGCACAACACGGATGCACTTACCTACATGCAGACAATACACTCAAACACATAAGGAAAAAATAAAATATTTTAAAAAGCTTTCATTTATAAATAATTACACAGAAGAGGGCTAAGGCTTTGGCTGAGTGGCACGAAGCCCTGACTTCATCCCCAACCTCTTAAACCAGGCATAATGTTCCACACTTCTTATTCCAGCCCTGGAGATGAAGGCAGAAGGAGCAGGAATACAAGTTCAAGCCATACTGGGCTATATATTGAGATGGAGGCTAGCCTGAGCTACATGAGACCCTGTCAAGTGTCAGGAAAAATACACCTAAGCCAGGCATGGTAGTGCACACCTTTACTCCCAGCACTCTCTTTGTGAGTTCCAGGCCAGCCTGGTCTACACAGCGAGTTCCAGTCCATCTGGCGCTACAGAGAGACCCTCTCTCAAAAAGACTTAAAAAAAAAAAGAAAAATATGGGTAAGTAGTGGCAAAAATAGAACAAAGCGGCCCCCAAAATGACTTTCTTTAGGTTTCGCCTGAGGTGTCAGATTACATAACGAACTTAAACCCAGGAAACTGGACATTTGCTCAACCCACGGGATCCTGTCCGCTTTTCCAAGTCTTTTTCCGTAGAGCCACTTGGCCTTTTGCACATCCTCCTTACTAGATCTTGATGCGTTTCAGCTCCCAAACCAGAGCTGGGATCCTCGCACAGAGCAGAAGGAACCAGGTAACAGTGCCCAAGGCCGCGCTTCGGGGGTTAAATCGGCACATCACTACCGCGCATGCGCACAGGAACATCGCCCCGCTCCACCCCCGTGCGCACCATCACGTGATACGCGCAACCGGCGCCGCCCTATAAAATGCCTGGGCGTTGACGTCAGCGGTCTCTTCCGCCGCCGTCGCCGCCATCGTTGGCGGTTCTTGCCTTTCGCTTTTGCTCGGGAGAATCCACCGACATCCGCTACCATGGTGAGTGTCCGCGGCGCGCTCGGAGGCTGGGGATGGAGATGAGGTCTCGGAGTTCTGTGAGACAGCGGAGGGGACGCGCCGAGGCGGACGGGGAGGAGACATGGCGGCCGCGGCCGGACTGAGCGCGGACGTATTGGGGCCGGCGGCCGCCGCCATGTCTGTGCGCCTGGCAGCGCCGCGCTCTTGGTGCTTTGTACTTAGCTGCGCCCTTTCTGCGCGATTTGTGGTTCCCCTTGCACCTCTGGTGTTCCTTGCCTTGGAGTGAAGTCCTGGCTGGACCCTGGGGTGGAAGTGGCCATGGGAGGGGGTGGAGCCTGCTGATGTGGCTGCGGTGGCAGCGCTGTGGATGGTGACCCTCTGTGTGGGAAGCCGATCGGGAAGACCATCTTACGTAACGAGCTGTAGAAAAGTACCTCCAGTCTCCGAAGGGTCACCTCCAGACGATATGCCTGCACGTGATCTCTCGATCTTTACTTCTTGGAGCACACGGGGAGCCTTTGGATGTAGTATGTGCCGTATGGTTCCCGGGGTCCTTTGGGATTTCGTGGAGTGCAGTAGCCCAGTCTGGTCGCACCCGCCTATTGGAGTTTGGTCTTGGATTTAGAGTTATAACTGGGGAAAGCTGGTGTCTTCTGGAAGTTTTGCCCACCCCCTTGCTCTCGTTGGTAAGGAGTGTCCAGTAGTCACCCCGCTTTCTGGGTGGGTGGTCAGTTCTAGATCAATTTGGTTTTGATCCGGGTCTTGCTGTGTGTCTCAGGCTGGAGTGAAAGTCGTCCTCCTGCCTCAGTCGGTCTCCCTGTTGGAATGACAGATCTGGTTCAGAGTCGCAGTTTGATACACTGTTTTAATTTGGTTTGGGAGAGGGAACCAATGTGTAAGCCCATCCTTTCCTGAAACTCCCTATTTAGGTTAGACTGTCCTGGAACTCAGAGAGCCCCTGCTTCTACCTCCAGTGCCAGGATTAAAGGTGTTCATCACCCCCCCCCCCCACAGGTCCTGAGTTTGGTGCATTGTGACTTTGGTTTGAGATAAGGTCTCATGTATCCCAGACTGTCCTTGGGTTCTTCAGCTTCCTGTATTTCTGAGGGCTGGCATGACAGGCGATGGCACCTTTTCCGATTGCCAATCCAGACAGTTTTGTTGGGTTTGAGGTGGGATCTCATGGAGCCCAGGCTTGCCCCACACTCTTGATCCTCTGATGACAGGTGTGTACCACTGTGCGCACTAGGATAGTTTGATGTTCTTTTTTTGGTTTGTTTTGAGATGGGGTCTGGTAGGTCAGGCTGCACTTGACCTCTGTAACTGGCTGGCCATGGACTCTTGATCCTTTGCTGGACTTTCCATCATGAGTCACCAGGTTGGGACTCAGTGTCCCTTGTGATAGTCACAGTCTCCAGTGGTTGGAGCACTGCATGGGCAGACGGACTGCATGGCCCCTGGTGCCACCTGCCAAGCTGCTTCCAGGATGCCCAGTGACCCCTCCCCCGGTAGGTGAACTTCACGGTGGATCAGATCCGAGCCATCATGGACAAGAAGGCCAACATCCGGAATATGTCTGTCATTGCACACGTAGACCATGGCAAGTCCACACTGACAGACTCGCTGGTGTGTAAGGCAGGCATCATTGCCTCTGCACGTGCTGGGGAGACGCGCTTCACAGACACCCGCAAGGACGAGCAGGAACGATGCATCACCATCAAGTCCACGTAAGCAGGGTTGGAGGGGTGCTCACACTCGGCATTGCTAGGTCCCCCTTCCCACCCAAGGGACTGTCACATCTGGGCTGCTGCTACTGGCATCTAGCGGTGCCACCATCTAGTGGATGGAGATAGGGACTCATGTTGCCCAGGTTGGCCTTGGACTCCTCATTATCCTGCCCCAGTATATGGAGACTGGGGTGACAGGTACCATCCTGAGCCGCTACTTCTTGTGATTGTCAATTCAGACACATTTTGTTTGAGGTTTTGTTGAGTGTTTGATAGGTCCAGGTTCTCCCACCTTGCTCTGGATGTGGGCATGACAGTTGTGGGTCAACCTGCCAGTCACTGCTACTGTGGGTCCTGGGAACAGGCATGACTGGCAGGCAGTGTGGGGATGAGGGGCACTGGTCTCCTATGGAGAGGCAGGCAGGGTTGACAGCAGGGCTGGATCTGGGTCCCTGCTGGCCTCTGGGTGCTGACAGCCTCCATCCCCAGCGCGATCTCGCTGTTCTACGAGCTGTCAGAGAACGACCTGAACTTCATCAAGCAGAGCAAGGATGGGTCAGGCTTCCTCATCAACCTCATCGACTCCCCAGGCCATGTGGACTTTTCCTCAGAGGTGACGGCTGCCCTGCGAGTCACAGATGGCGCCCTGGTGGTGGTGGACTGCGTGTCTGGTAGGTCTTGGCCTCGCCGTGGGCTGGAGGTGGGGCTGTGGGTGGGTACATTGCTGTGACCCTGTCCCTGTGTGCAGGAGTGTGTGTACAGACAGAGACGGTGCTGCGACAGGCCATTGCTGAGCGCATCAAGCCTGTGCTGATGATGAACAAGATGGACCGTGCACTGCTCGAGCTGCAGCTGGAGCCTGAGGAGCTCTACCAGACCTTCCAGCGCATTGTGGAGAATGTAAATGTCATCATCTCCACCTACGGCGAGGGCGAGAGTGGACCCATGGGCAACATCATGGTGTGTTGGTGCTACCTGGGGATGGAGCTGGGGGGTGGGGGGAGTGTGCTGGAACCCTGAAGCCCCACATGTGATGACGGAAATTCTTCACTTTGACCTGATGTCTGCTGAAGAAACTCAGAGTCTGATCTTGGGACCTGGGGACTTGGGCCTGTGTGCCTGGTCCCCAGCTCACGGCTGCTATCTCTGCAGATCGACCCTGTCCTGGGCACAGTGGGCTTTGGCTCTGGCCTGCATGGCTGGGCCTTCACCTTGAAGCAGTTTGCAGAGATGTATGTGGCCAAGTTTGCTGCCAAGGGCGAGGGCCAGCTAGGGCCGGCTGAACGCGCCAAGAAAGTAGAGGATATGATGAAGAGGCTGTGGGGGGACCGGTAAGTGGGGGTGTGGATGCTGCCTGAGCATCCCGTGAGTGGCGACATGGCCTGGCGCCTCACTGTCAGGCTTCTCTACTCCCCACCTTCCAGGTACTTCGACCCAGCAAATGGCAAGTTCAGCAAGAACGCCAACAGCCCTGACGGAAAGAAGCTGCCCAGAACCTTCTGCCAGCTCATCCTTGACCCTATCTTCAAGGTGCCTGCTGGGTTGGGTGGTGTGTGGGTGTCAGTGGTCCCCTCCTGTCTGGAATACCTGCCTCGCATGCTCACCCATTCTTCCTTACACAGGTTTTCGATGCCATCATGAACTTCAAAAAGGAGGAGACTGCCAAGCTGATTGAGAAGCTGGACATCAAGCTGGACAGCGAGGACAAGGGCAAGGAGGGCAAGCCGCTGCTAAAGGCTGTGATGCGTCGCTGGCTGCCGGCTGGGGATGCGCTGCTGCAGATGATCACCATCCACCTGCCCTCACCAGTCACAGCACAGAAATACCGCTGCGAGCTGCTCTACGAGGGGCCGCCTGATGACGAGGCTGCCATGGGTGGGTGCCCACACCTGCCATACCCAGCCCCAGGGTTCCTGGCCTCAATGTGAGGGTAACATTGGGGTGTGCTCTTTGCTTCAGGCATCAAAAGCTGTGACCCCAAAGGACCCTTGATGATGTACATCTCCAAGATGGTGCCAACTTCTGACAAGGGGCGCTTCTATGCCTTTGGCCGTGTGTTCTCCGGTGTGGTGTCCACTGGCTTGAAGGTCCGCATCATGGGCCCCAATTACACTCCAGGGAAGAAGGAGGACCTGTACCTGAAGCCCATCCAGAGGTGACGGGGGGAGAGGACAGGGGCAGGGCACACCCAGAAGGCAGTGGCTCAGTGTGCACAGGGGCCTGGCTGAGCTACACTAATAATGGCCTGTCTCCAGAACCATTCTGATGATGGGCCGCTACGTGGAGCCTATTGAGGATGTGCCCTGTGGCAACATCGTGGGGCTTGTGGGTGTGGACCAGTTTCTGGTGAAGACAGGCACAATCACCACCTTCGAGCATGCCCACAACATGCGTGTGATGAAGTTCAGTGTCAGCCCTGTCGTCCGGGTGGCTGTGGAGGCAAAAAACCCAGCTGATCTGCCAAAGCTGGTCGAGGGGCTCAAGCGGCTGGCCAAGTCGGACCCCATGGTGCAGGTGCGTCCTGTGTGCTGCAAGGGGTCAACAGGCTGGTACCACACTGCCATCCTTCAGTGCTCACCACCTTGGCCAAGGAGGCTCGGGGTGCGTGAGCACCAGGATTGGCACTGATTGACTTTGTCCTCCCCACAGTGTATCATCGAGGAGTCTGGTGAGCACATTATTGCAGGTGCAGGTGAGCTGCATCTGGAGATATGTCTCAAGGACCTAGAGGAGGACCACGCCTGCATCCCCATCAAGAAGTCGGACCCTGTGGTGTCATACCGTGAGACAGTGAGTGAGGAGTCAAACGTGCTGTGCCTGTCCAAATCTCCCAACAAACACAACAGGCTGTATATGAAGGCCAGGCCCTTCCCTGATGGCCTTGCTGAGGACATCGACAAGGGCGAGGTGTCCGCCCGCCAGGAGCTCAAGGCTCGGGCTCGCTACCTGGCTGAGAAGTATGAGTGGGATGTGGCTGAGGCCCGCAAGATCTGGTGCTTTGGGCCCGATGGCACTGGCCCCAACATCCTCACTGACATCACCAAGGGTGTGCAATACCTCAATGAAATCAAGGACAGTGTGGTGGCCGGGTTCCAGTGGGCCACCAAGGAGGTGAGCTCTCAGGAGATGGCTTGGTGGGCACCATCCTGGGCGGGGGCTAGACAGTTACAGTCCTCCAACTGCTCACTCTCCCCAGGGTGCACTCTGTGAGGAGAACATGCGTGGTGTGCGTTTCGATGTCCATGATGTGACCCTGCATGCTGATGCCATCCACCGTGGTGGTGGCCAGATCATCCCCACAGCCCGCCGCTGCCTCTATGCCAGTGTGCTGACTGCGCAGCCCCGCCTCATGGAGCCCATCTACCTGGTGGAGATCCAGGTGAGGCCTGGTCCTCTTGGGCTGCCCTCTAGTCCTTCCTGCCTAGCTCTCTGCTCACAGCTTTGTCCCTTTTTAGTGTCCTGAGCAGGTGGTCGGTGGCATCTATGGTGTTCTAAACAGGAAGCGGGGCCATGTGTTTGAGGAGTCTCAGGTGGCCGGCACCCCCATGTTCGTGGTCAAGGCTTACCTGCCTGTCAACGAGTCCTTTGGTGAGTGAGTGGCTGTGGTTGCTTGGGGTGAGAAGAGGACAAGCGAGTGTGTCTTTGAGCAGCAGCAAGCAGGGGTGACCAGGTCAGACACCAGGGCTGAACTAAGCCTCTTGTCTGCTCATACCTAGGTTTCACCGCTGACCTGCGCTCCAACACAGGTGGCCAGGCATTCCCGCAATGTGTGTTTGACCACTGGCAGATCCTCCCTGGAGATCCTTTTGACAACAGCAGCCGCCCCAGTCAGGTGGTGGCGGAAACACGCAAGCGCAAAGGCCTGAAGGAGGGCATCCCTGCCCTGGACAACTTCCTGGACAAACTGTAGGCGGCCAACTCCTAGCCTGGCTCCACTCTTGACTGTGCCCACCAACTCTCACCTGAGACTGTCCCCACAATGCCACCCACCCGAGGCTGCCGAGCCCCTCTGTGCCATGATCCAATGCTACCTAACGGCAATTCTATTTATTTCGGAGTTCCGAGGCAGTGGATCACCCTTCACAGGGACTGGTGGGCTGTGGGGTGGGCACAGGTGTGACACAGTGCTCTTATCATTTTCAGAGGGAAACATGTCCAAAAGTCTAAATAAATACATTCAGAGGTTTGTGTGGATCCACCTCCTAATGGAGCTCCCCAGAAGGGAACAGCTGGGTGGAGCCCCAGCCCTCTGCTGAGTAATAAACGTTTTGCTGCACTCTCCCACCTCCCCTGTCCTGCCTAGGGGTGTTGTGTGGGTAGAAGGGGCCGGAGTGAGGGGGGAGGCCAAGTCGTTCCCAGCTTTGGAGGGGGTAGTGGCCGGCCTGGGTTAGAAACGGGTTCCTGTTAAAGAATAAACACTAGCCCAGGGTGGGGTCACATCCCTGCATGGTAGCTGGGTTTAGTAGGGGTGGCCTTGGGCCCTGACCAATGGCCTGCCCAGCACTGCGCTGATTGGCCTACAGCGTGCCCTGTCTTCCCTGGCGCAGCCTCCCCTGTCCCCGATCACTCGGCTTCCGGTTTCGATCGGCGGCCAGGTCCAGCCTTGGGAGCCTGCGCCCGCATCTGCTAATTGCTCCATCCCGCCGAGGTTGGACGCCAGGGACCTGCTGGTTTCCGGCTTTGACGGGACCAAAGCGTGCGAGTTTCCTGTTTGCCGGTTGCGTCAGGGCGTCCAATCTGCTGCGGTTTCCTGCTCCAGGGGTGGGGCCACCAGCAATAAACGCTATCTTCCGGTCTCGGAGGGGCGGGATACAGCCGGCCTTCCGGGCTCTGCGACCGGCGCATGCGTACACGCTCCTCTATGCTCACCGGAGATCGCGGCGGCTGCCCAGGCAGCCTGGCGGGGACTCCCGGATTGTGGACGGTGCGGACGGGCTGCGACCGGAGCAGCGTGTTGTGGGTCTCGCTGGGATGCGGGGAGGGCGGGATCCAAGGAGGGAGGTCCATGACACGCCAGCCAGGAAGACACGAACCCCTAGGGGAGAGCCACTGCGCATGCGTGGGGGCTGGGGTACTGGTGCCGTCAGGGATGTGGATGGGCATGATTGACAGGTGAGGAAGCTGGCCAGCCAGCCTGAGACTGTTGCGGAGTCACAAAAGCGGGTGACATGCAGCTCAGGCTGACCTGAAACTCGTGGCAATCCTCCTGCCTCAGCTGGCCAATACAGGTTTTGGGGGAGTAAGGCGAAGGACTAGGAGTAAGGTCCCTGCATTCCCCCAGGAGCAGGGGGATCAGTATTGTCACTTCCCTCTTTTCCTCCCCAGTGTTTTCCCCTAGCTCCGCTGTGCCCAGAGTGACGTTGCAGAGGTCTCCTTGGGGCAGAAGCTTCTGGAAGGCTGGCCAGCCACCATGTCCACGTTCAGGCAGGAAGATGTAGAGGAGCACTATGAGATGGGAGAGGAGTTGGGCAGGTGAGTAGCTTTCAAGAGGTCGCTGTGTTCACCCCTGTCCTGTCCTTTGTCACTGTCATATGTTGAGTTATAGATCCCCAGACAGCCGTGGCCCCCTGGGTTCCTGTTCTCTGATGCACCATTGTGTGCTAGGGGGAGAGACCCTGAATACTTGAACCCCACCATTGCTACAGAGCCAGAGACTCAATCTCAGAGGTTTGCCTGCCTCTGGGTCCTGAATGCTGGGATTAAAGGCCTGGCTTTATTTTTGAGATGGGGTCTCATGTTACCCTGACTAGCCTTGAACTTTTTAAGTTTCATTTCATTTTACTCTGTGTGTGTGTGTGTGTGTATCGCAAATGGCAACTTGCAGAAGTCAATTCTTGCCTTCCACCATGTGGGTCCTGGAGATTGAACTCAGGTCCTCAGGCTTGGCAGCAAGCACATTTGTCCTCTGAGCCATCCCACAGGCCCAGGCCTTGAACTTTGGCCTTGAACTCTTGGAAGTCTCCTGGGGTGACAGGTGTGCACCACAGCATAGGACGTGCTGAGTTCTTTCTGACCTTGGAAGGTCCCCTTCTCCTTAGTTCTCTTGTTGTGGGGGCACTTGAGTCCCCCCAGTTTTGCCTGGTTAAGGAGATCTTTTCCTGCCTGGGTTGACAGTCTGTTCCTAGTAGAAAGCTGGGTTCTCCCCTGGCTGGCTCTCCTGCCTGTGTAGGCTTTCGGCTCCTCCTCTCCTGCCCCAGCCAGGCCCAACCTCACCTGGAGCCTCAGACCTTATTTGGTGAGTTCTCACCCTGGCCAGCCTTTCCCAAGCCTCATGGCCCGCCCAATGATGTCACCAATATAGAATGTAAATAAGCAGGCCAGGGAGAGTTGTAGGGACCTCCTCTGGCACCCTGACCTGCGTCCTTCTGGAATTTCCTGCACTAGCCTGCCTCCAAACTCTCAGGCTTTGACTGTGAGAATCACCAGGAGCAGCTTTGAGCAGAAGTAAGGAAATTTCCCCAGGGCTTCAGAGACACCTTGAATGCTAAAGCACCTTCTGAGAAAGCCAGCAGGACAACTGGGTCCCCAGTTGTCCCTTACATCCAGGCAAGGTCACCCACACCTGTCACTTCAGTGATGGAGAGGCAGAGACAGGATGCCAGGTTTGCTGGCCACACAGCCTTGGCTCATCAGCAAGGTCCAGGTTCAGTGAGAGACACTATGTTAAAAACACAGGGTTGGTGGCTGGAGAGATGGCTCAGCAGTTAAGAACACTGGTTGTTCTTGCAGAAGACCCTGGTTCAAATCCCAGCACCCACATGGCAGCTAACAGCTGTCCTAACTCCAGTTCCAGGGGATCCGACAGCCTCTTCTGTCCTCCATGGGCATTGTACAACACGGGTGCACTTACCTACATGCAGGCAATACACACATACACATAAGATAAAAATAATAAAATATTTTTAAAATACCAAAAAACAAAAAACGACACAGAGTTGGAGTGACCAGGGACAGCTCCTAAGGTATATCTGCACACATCAAAAAAAAACAAAAATCAGGATAATTATCCACATGGAGTCAAGCCTTAAGGATGGTTCCAGGACTCCCGGAACAACACAGTCTTCTGCTCAAGGCCTAGAGCTCAAGGCCTAGAATGGACTAATGGTGAGGTTTTTGTGTCTAACTCCTGCAAGCTGATATCTATACTTTATTATAAATGTGGTTTTAATGCCAGAGAAGGCCCCCAGGGCAGGGCACCTGCTAGGCACAGGCACCACTGAGGTACACTCTCACCACTAGTCTGGGGTTTGTATATGTTTGTTTATTTTTGTTTTATGTATTTTTTTTTAATTTTATGTGTATGGGTGTATTGCCTGCATGTATGTGAGTGCATCCGTGTCGTGCAATGCCTCGGAGGTCAGAAGATGGCTTTGGATTCCCCTGGAACTGGAGTTAAGGATAGTTTGTAGCCACCATGTGAGTTCAAGGCCAGCCTGGTCTACATAGTGAGTTCCATGTGGGTGCTGGGAATCGAACCCGAGTCCTCTGTAAAAGCAGTCAGTGCTATTAACTGCTGAGCCATCTCTCCCGCCCTGTTACTAATATTTTTTAACCTTTTGTTATTTAAATTAAAAAATATTTTACGTGTATGCATATATTGCCTGCATGTAGGTAAGTGCACCCATGTCGTGCCATGCCCATGGTGGACAGAAGAGGCTGTGGGATCCTCTGGGACTGGAGTTACAGTTGGTTGTTAGCTGCCATGTGGGTGCTGGGATTCGAACCTGGGACTTCTGCAAGAACAGCCAGTGTTCTTAACTGCTGAGCCATCTCTCCAGCCCCTCGTTATTTAAATTTTTAAATTAACTTATTTTTACTATGTGTTTGAGTGTAAATGCATGCATGTTGTACAATGCTTGCAGAGGCCAAAAGACGGTGTTGGATCCCATGGACCTGGAGTTACAGGTGGTTGTTAGCCGCCATGTGGGTGCTGGGAACTGAACCCAGGACCTCTGCAAGAGCAGCCAGTGCTCTTAACCACTCCAGGCTCCCTTTTTTTTTTTTTTTTTTTTTGTTGAGACAGGATCTCCCTGTAGCCCCAGCTGGTCTGGAACTCCCAATGTAGCCCAGGCTAGGCACAATCTCACAGAGAGACTCACCAGTCTCTGCCTCCTTAGTACTGGGATCATGGGTAAGTGCCATCACACCTGGCTATTTGTCTATTTTGTGTGTGTGTGAGTACTTGTCTGGGTGTCCATCTTACTCAGTTGCTCTCCAACATATTATTTTAGAGAAAAGGTCTCTCACTGAACCTGGAGCTTGCTGATTCAGCTAAGCTGTCTGCCCAGGGAGCCCGTCTCCATCTCCCCATGCTAGGTTGACAAATACACCCCACCACACCCGGCTTTTCATGTGCATTCTGGGAATCAAACACAGACCCTCATGGTACTTTACCCACTGGGCTGTCTCCTTAGCATCCTGGTTTTTGTATTTCTAAATGGTGGTACACGCCTTTAATCCCAGCACTCGGGAGGCAGAGGCAGGCGGATCTCTGTGAGTTCAAGGCCAGCCGGGTCTACATAGTGAGCTCCAGGGCAGCTGAGGCTACAGGGAAACCCTGTCTAAAAAAGACCCCCCCCCCAAAAAAAAAAGGTTTTCTTTAAATTTTATGTGTGTGAGTTATGGAAATCTAACTTGGGTTCTCTGCAAGAGAAGCTAGTGCTCTTAACCACTGAGCCATCTCTCTAGCCCCAGCTCCAATTCTTTGTTTTAATAGGCCAAATAAGCAGACAGGGTCTGGGTGGGGGGGCCTGCCATCCCAAGTGGAGGCAGAAGGATCAGGAGTTCGTCAGCCTCAACTACATAGCCAATTCCAGACCAGTCAGGGCTACAGGAGAACCTGTCCCTACAAAAAACAAGATCAGAATGTAAACAAAAAATGTAACTTGGTGAAGAAACACTTCCCTTGGTGTATGTGAAACTCAGTCTTCTCTCTCTCTCATACACAACACACATACACACACACACACACATACACACACACACACACACCCTCTGGCTTCTGTCGGGGGGCTGAGAGCCTAGGATCTGCTCCATGTTCTGTGAGTGGCACCTGGCCTGTGGGGAAGGCCCCAGCTCCATGATTACCTCCATCTTTGCGGCCCTGGCTGGCTCCTCTCATCTGAAGTGTGGGTGACAGTGGCACCTGCCTCAGCAGCTCATCCCTGAGCCCTCCTCCATGTCATGTCCTGCTCACAGCTGCATCTCAGATGTTCAGGGAAACTGGCACATCCTCAGAAGGGCCACTACTGAGCTAGAGGGAGCGCAGCCCTGTCCCCAGCACACCTCAGTCTCTCTGAGGGCCTGGCTACCAGCCCTGGGCCGTCCCTGGGCTCGGTGGATGTGGTGAACAGCGTGCTCTCTGTATGTGTGTATGTGCCATGGATGTCAGAGGACAACTTGCAGTCAGTTCTTCCAGCATGTGGGTTTCCTGGGGATCAAACTGAGGTTCTCAAGCTTAGCAGCAAGCTTCTACCTGCTGAACCCTTTTGCCAGCTCCATGTTTTTGAGACAAGCTCTCACATAGCCCAGGCTGGTCTTGAACTGTCTGCTGACAAGGATGACCCTGAGCTCCTGATCCTCCTGCCTCCATCTCCCAGGTGCTGGGGTGACGGGTGGGGGCCAATGTGTCATTATGTATGTGCAGAGGGCAGAAGTTGAGGTGTTGGGTTTTTTTTTGTTTTGTTTTGTTTTGTTTTTTTATTTTTGTCAGATCCCCTAGAACTGGAGTTATGGAGGATTGTTGGCTGCCGTGTGGGTGCTGGGATTTGAACCTGGGTCTTCTGCAGGACCAGCCAGTGCTCTTAACCGCTGAGCCATCTGTCCAATCCCTCCACCTTGTTTTTTGAGACAGGGTCTCCCTGTAGTCCCAGCTGGCCTGGAACTCACTATGTAGATCAGGCTGAGCCGGATCTTTTATAGAGATCCCCCTGCCTCTGCCTCCTGAGTGATGGGATTGAAGGCATGCATGAGCATGCTTGGCTTGCACACTCAAGTGAGCACTTCCCCCAGGGCATTTCCCCCAGTGTGGGTCATGGGGCAACTCTACTGCTGTAGAAACACCTGGCAGCTGCTCTCCTGTTTCACACTGGCATCCCACCATTTGGGGATAGACAGTGCCCAGGTACTGAGCATCCCCCTGTCCCCTGCAGTGGTCAGTTCGCCATCGTGCGCAAATGCCGGCAGAAGACAACAGGCAGGGAGTATGCGGCCAAGTTCATCAAGAAGCGGCGCCTGTCATCTAGCCGGCGTGGCGTGAGCCGGGAGGAGATTGAGCGGGAGGTGAGCATCCTGCGCGAGATCCGCCACCCCAACATTATCACTCTGCACGATGTGTTTGAGAACAAGACAGATGTGGTACTGATCCTGGAGCTGGTGTCGGGTGGTGAGCTCTTCGATTTCCTGGCCGAGAAGGAGTCGCTGACTGAGGATGAGGCCACGCAGTTCCTCAAGCAGATCCTTGATGGAGTCCACTACCTGCACTCCAAGCGTATCGCCCACTTTGACCTGAAGGTGGGTGCAGCCAGCGGAGGATGGAGGGGGGTCCCTCATCTTCCAGGCTCACCCTGGCTCATCCTGCACCTGCCTCACCCTGCACACCGAGCCCTCTGTACCCCACCCCATTCACCCCTTACCCTTTCATACAACACCCCCCCCAGCCCGAGAACATCATGCTGCTGGACAAGCATGCTGCCAGCCCGCGCATCAAACTCATTGACTTTGGCATCGCACACAAGATTGAGGCTGGCAATGAGTTCAAGAACATTTTTGGCACACCAGAGTTCGTAGGTGAGACTACAGGGCTGGGGGGAGGGGGACACTGGCGGGTGGGGCTAGCTGTTCTGCACCCCTCAGCCTGACCCTGCCACCCCTGCCCTGTCCCCACAGCCCCCGAGATTGTCAACTATGAGCCACTGGGCCTGGAGGCTGATATGTGGTGAGTAAAGTCAGGGACAGGGCCTCAGCCTGCCCCACGCTCCCCACACCCTCCCCATTCTCCACCTGCTGTCCCCAATATGCTCCCAACATCTTCCCCATCCATGCTGTGACCCCAAGTGTGCCTTGTGCTCCCCATGCCCTCTCTTGTCTTCCACCTGCTGTCTCCACTGTGCTCTGTGCTCCCTGAGCTCTCTTCCACCTGTGAGCTGGGACCAAGGTTGGACAGCTGGAGAGGGTATGGGACGTGGATGGCTGGGCAGGAGGAGAGATGAGGCCCCTCTCATCCTTGGAGGGGCCCCATCCCACAGAGGTGCAGAGCAGGGTCGGGGCTTCACTTACCCCCCAGCCCAGGGTGGCATGAGCTCTGCAGGCGGCCAAGCCCATGCTGTGTAGGTGACAGCTCTTGGGGTGGGGGGGAGTCTTAGAACTCAGAGGACAGGGACTGCCCAGAGCCAGGGTGGGTCAAGATGTGACAGGCCAGGGCCGCCCCCGAGATCCCATCAACCTGCCGTCCTACCTCAGCTTCCCTGTGCTTGACCCTGACCAGACCTCTAGGCCCCATGGTCCTCTAGAGGAGGCCCTGGGTTCTGGGCACAGGTGCTGCCAGTGCTGCACTGACCTATCTCTTGTTTCCTGCAGGAGCATTGGGGTGATCACCTACATTCTGTAAGTTCTTGGGGTGGACCCCATCATCCATCCCTACCTGCCTAGAGGCATCCATACCCCCAGCCCCTCACTGGGGATTCTAGGCTGTCACTCTACCCTGAGCCACGCCCCCAGTCCCTCACTGGGGACTCTAGGCTGTCACTCTACCCTGAGCCACGCCCCCAGTCCCTCACTGGGGACTCTAGGCTGTCATTCTACCCTGAGCCACGCCCCCAGCCCCTCACTGTCACCTCTAAGCTCAGCAGATGGTGGTCCCTTTGCTGGATGTTTTTGGGGTGGGTGGGCAGAGACTCGAGTCATCCTTTCCTCCTCCTTGTGGCCTGTGGTGGTCACCTTGCACCACTTGACTGGCGATATGAGGGAGGAGTCTGCAGTAGCTTCCCATGGCCACCAGTGGCCACCATCATTCAGCCCTATGTCCCCTGCAGCCTGAGTGGGGCATCTCCGTTCCTGGGTGAGACCAAGCAGGAGACACTGACCAACATCTCAGCTGTGAACTACGACTTCGACGAGGAATACTTCAGCAGCACCAGCGAGTTGGCCAAGGACTTCATCCGCAGGCTGCTTGTCAAAGACCCCAAGTAGGGGTGCAGGGCAGGGGCATGGGGTGCATGAGGGATGGGGGGCGTGGCTGGGACTGTGGGGACTGTGGTTCAGGTCACTCCATTTGTTCATTTTTTTAGATAGTGTCTTACGTAGCCCAAACTGGCTTTCAAACTCTGATCCTCGTGGCTCCCCCTGCTGAACTTACTGGCTTCAGAGGGCCAGGGATCAGCAGTGGGGTATCCTGCACTGCTTGAGGGGTGATGGGGATGCTTGCTTTTTGCCCCATCCCCTGTCACTCTCCTATGGGAAGATGGGGCTGGAGACACGAGTGCAGCTCCCCAAAGCACAGACAGGATGAGAGATGCATATGTGTCACTAGGGGGGGGCAGAGGGGAAAGGGACATGTGTGCCACTGGGGTCAGAGGGAACAGGGACGTATTGTGTCACTGGGGTCAAAGGGGATGGGGACATGTGTCTCTCACTGGGTGCTCATGGGACAGGACAGGTGTGACCCACTGTGTTGTCTGGCAGGAGGAGGATGACCATCGCCCAGAGTCTGGAGCACTCCTGGATCAAGGTGAGACCCGTCTGGGTGCCTGGTTTCTGCAGGTCCCAGAGGGTGGGGTGGGGTCCTTGCTGCAACCTGTGCCTGTCCTTCAGGCCATCCGGCGGCGTGGGGCGCGCAGCGAGGACAGTGGGCGGCGGCCAGAGCGGCGGCGGCTGAAGACCACGCGGCTGAAGGAATACACCATCAAGTCGCACTCCAGCATGCCGCCCAACAACAGCTACGCCAGCTTCGAGCGCTTCTCCAAGGTGCTGGAGGAGGTGGCTGCGGCCGAGGAGGGGCTGCGGGAGCTGCAGCGCGGGCGCAGCCGCTGTCGGGAGGACGTGGCGGCTTTGCAGGCGGCAGCGGAGCAGCGGGAGGCGCGCATGCGCGATGGCAGCGCGGGGCTGGGCCGTGACCTGCGGCGCCTGCGGCAGGAGTTGCTGCGCTCCGAGGCCCTGCGGCGGCAGGCACAGGACGAGGCCCGTGCAGCTGTGCAGGGCGCCGGCGGCCTCAAATGGCGCCTCGGTCGCCTGGAGAAGCGCTACGACGCGCTGGCCGCACAGCTGGCATCCGAGATGCGCTTCGTGCGCGACTTGGTGCAGGCGCTGGAGCAGGAGAAGCGGGAGGCCGGGGACTGCGGGCTGCGCTAGGGTGAGCCCGCCGGGTCAGCCGCAACCACCCTGGGCACCCGAAACCACGGCCACTTGCAGCCGCCTACAGTCACCCCGCCGCGGCCGGCCACCGTGGCCACCGGCAACGACCTACGGCTACCCAAAGCCACCCGCAGCCACATGCAACCACCCCGGGTCCCCAGGCCCGCACCTTCCGGCCACCCTGCCTCTGTGCTCCACCCCTACTGGGCCTGTGGATGCACCCTGCGGGCAGGTGGCCTCTCACAGGCCAAGGTGGCCCTGGCCAACCCTGCCCATACCCACTCTGCACAAAAAGTGGCTGCCACATGACACCAGGCCCGCCCCCGAGTACTGGAGTCTGTGACATTGGCCAGTGCTGGACTCTGTCCTCTTGAGGCTCAGTGGTCCCCCTGCCACCACCAGCACTCCCTGTGGTCCACAGCTCTGGCCTGTGCCCCTGACAGCACCATGGGGACCAGTCACCCATTCCTCTGTCCTCTAGATCACTAACCCATCCCACTGTCCCCAAACCCCGGTAGCTCAGCTGTACAGAGCACCACCTTGCACCACTAGGTGCCACACCAGGGAACTGTCCCCAATGAGTTCCTCTAGGGCCTGAGGCCAGGACTGTGATGAGGCCTGGTCCCCTGTGGGGGGCAACACCTCACATGCCCTGCAAGCCCAGTGTGACATGTCCTCAGTGCAAGCCAGAATAAAGCTGCCTTCCACCAGGTTCCTACTTGTGTTTCAGGCCCCAGTGAGCACCACTAGGCATCATGGCCTGTGTGTTCTTACCCAGCTGTGCTCAGGACAGTGGGTGCAACCTGAAGGTCACCAGTCATCCCCAGGAGAGGCCTCTGGGTGGGTCCTGGGTCACAGGGGCCTCTACCACCTCACAAGACCACTGACAAACACAGTTCAGCTCAGTCCTCTAAGGGTGGCAGAGGCCTGTCAGACATCCAGCTCCCTGGTTTCTCCCTGCAGAGCTGTTTCCAATGAGATGTCTCACATCCAAGATTCACCTGCTAAAAATGTAAAATCCAAGATTTCACTGCACTATCACACAGCCCCGAACAGGAGCTGGAGCTGATACGAGCCACAGTGTGGAGGGACCTCAGGGACACGCTCAGTGAGAGACCCAGACACAAAAGGTCACACGGAATTACAGAGACAGGAAGTGGATCCATTGGGGACTGTGAAGGGAACTTTAATGTAACAAATATTCTGGGGTTAAGCATGGTGGTCACATGACAAGCTGGAGAGACAGGCAGGAGGAGCACATAAGGCCAGCGTGGGTGACACATCCAGTCTCAGGAACCAAAACAGCCAGGCCCCTCTTGCAAGCCCTGAGCAGCCAGCCAGTCGGTCCCTGAAGTCATCCAGCCTGGTGTCCCCACTTTGGGGAGCTCACATCACCTACCAGCCACTAACCCCATGTCCCCCACCACTGACGCAGCCCTTCTGGTCTCGCCCATAGTCTAGCTGCATTTCACATGGCAAGTGTGGGCAGGTGTGTGGTGAAGCACTAGGCTTCTGTGTTGGGGGAGGAAATTAAATCTGAAGGGTTGGACGGGATGCCTCTCAGCACCTTGGAGGCCTGGTCCTGGGTCCTGGGATCCCATTTTCTACTTCCTTGCCATAATAAAAACCAGGGATCATATCTGTCCGTCCTCACTAGGGGGCAGCAGAGAACGCAACCCCAGTCATCTTCAGAGGCCCAGAGATAGCAGCTTTGGGAGGAAGATTTCTTTTGACTCACTGTTTTAGGCCCTGGGCCTGGCAGCCACTTGTCCTCTTGAAAATGAACAGGAAGTAGAGACCTGAGACAAAGCAGGGCAGGTGTAACCTTCAAATGTCCACCCTAGGGGTAACTTCTACCAGCTTGAACCCTCCTAGAGGCCCAGCAGCCTCCAAAATAATACCAGGAGACAATGATCAAATGTTTAAGACACAAGCCAGTGGGGAATCTTCCAGATTCAAGCCATGATGTAATACAGAGTGGACTATTAGCCAAGGAAAGTCATTCTGACACTCACTCTGACACCTCCCTTGGCTGCTCCTTAGAAGTGAGAAGGAGCATGTAATACCCAGGGCCACCTTCCCTTTCATTACCATTGAACTTAACGGCAGGATAGAGCTACATCGTATAACTGATAAGACACAGCTGGAAACTCAAGTGCTATGTCATCTTTAAAACCCTGTAGGGCCTCCTTGGCCTCTCTTTTGTTCTTAGTGAAAAGGAACATGTGATAGAGACAGCCATTCCTCCCATTTCTTTGCCATTGTACTGAATTAACTTAGCTAGACCTATAGTGTTTACTAAGGGAAAGTTGCAAACTCAGGCGATATGTCATTTTCGAGGATGTGATGCTCAATGACATAAATGAGATGCAGAAGGGCACACACCACAGACTCCCACTCCCAGGAGGTCCAGAGTCCTCAGAGCTACAGGGACAGGAAGTGGAGGGTGGGTGTCAGGGGCTCAGGAGGGGGTTGAATTAGTGTGGAATGGGGACAGAGCTTCAGTGTTGGGGGCATGGAAGGTTCTGGAGATGGATGGTGGGAACAGCCACACAGCCTGTATTTAATCCACTAAAACGCACATTGATGGCTGAGACAGCCAATTGCATGTTGCGTATGCACACGCACCACAAACACACCACACGCACGCACACACATGCACATACACACGCTCACGCACACAATTTCTGTGCTTACAATGTGGGTTTAAAATTTTTATGTGTGAGTGTTTTGTCTGCATGTATGTAAGAGCACCATGTGTATGCAATGCCCATAGAGGCAAGAAGAGGATGTCAGATTCCCTGGAACTGGCATTACAGAGGTTCTTAGCTGCCATGTGGGTGCAGGGAATTGAATCCAGGTCTGCAAAAGCAGACAGTGCTCTTAACCACTGAGCCATCTCTCCAGCTCCATACTCTGGTTTTAAATTGTTTCAACAGGACGTAGTGGCACACACCTGCCACACCAGCACTTAGGAGGCTGAGGCAAGACAATTGCATGTTTGAGGCCAGTCTGGGCTACATAGACACTGTCTCATAAGATAGGAGAGAGGGGCTGAAAAGCTTGTTCAGTGGTTTAAAGCACTGGCTGTTCTTGCAGAGGACCCAGGCTTTGTTTCCCAGCACCCACATGGTGGTTAACAACTGTCCATAACACCAGTTCCAGGGGATCTGATGCGATGTCCTCTGGCCTCTGTGGGCATTATACACACATGGCACACTTACAGACATGCAGGCTCAACACTCATACACATAAAAATAAATTTAAAGAATGTTTAAGTAGCTGTAGGCACCCTGTCACAGTTGAGTGAAACCTGGGTAGAGCTGCAGACATGGTGAGACATTCTAGAACCCAGAGCCTCAGGCTGGACAGGGACAGGAGTGCCAGTGGCCTGGTAGCCACTGGCTCAGCAGATCCTGTTTCAGTCACTGGCTCTTCATCCCATTAACGAGGCCAGCTGTGTGGCCCCAGGATGACGCAGATAGCTAGACATCTGATAACGACATGTGGAAGCAAAGAGAATTATGCCTGACTCAACAGACACAGCCAAGGGAACAGCACGTCGCCCACCGTGCCTCACCTCTGGGGGAGACGGAAGCCATCGGAGATGCCCTGTGCCGACTCTAGGCCTGTAAGATGAGGCTGGCTGGTTCTGACCAAACTGACCCTGGATCCTAACAAACTTTTAGTTTTTTGAGACAGGGTCTCCCTGTAGCCCCAGCTGGCCTGGAACTTGCAATATATACCAGGCTGACTTTGATCTCACTGAGATCCACATGACCCTGCCTCCTGAGTGCTGGGGTTAAAGGCTTGAGTCACCACACCCAGCAATTCATTCTTTATGGCTGAATAATATTCAATTTTCTATCATGCTGGTTAATGCTGTCAGCTTGATAGGATCCAGAATCACCATGGAGACAAGACTCTGGGCCTGTCTGTGAGGGGGTTTCTAGATTAGGTTAATCGAGGAGGGAAGACCGCCCTGAATGTGGGCTGCGCCATCCCTGGGCTGGGGTCCTGGACTGAATGAAAAGGAGAAAATGAGCTGAGTGCCAGCATGCAGCTCTCTCTGCTTCCTGACTGCATATGCAATGGGAGCAGTTGCCTCACCCTCCTGCCGCCATGACAGACTGTGTGCCCTTGAACCAGAATAAACCTTTCCTCACTTTTAAGTTGTGTCAGGTGTTGTCAGAGTAATGAACAGAGTAACTAAAACATATACATACTATGGTCTCTCCTCTCTCTCTCTCTCTCTCTCTCTCTCTCTCTCTCTCTCTCTCTCTCTCTCTCTCTCTCTCTCTCTCTCTCTCTCTCTCTCTCTCTCTCTCTCTCTCTCTCTCTCTCTCTCTCTCTCTCTCTCTCTCTCTCTCTCTCTCTCTCTCTCTCTCTCTCTCTCTCTCTCTCTCTCTCTCTCTCTCTCTCTCTCTCTCTCTCTCTCTCTCTCTCTCTCTCTCTCTCTCTCTCTCTCTCTCTCTCTCTCGTCTGTTTCAACTGGGTCTTATATAGCCTGGACTGGCCTCTAACTTGCTATGTAGCCCAAGAAGACCCTGAACTGCTCCTCCTGCTCCCAGCTCCTGAGTGCTGGGGTGACAGGCATGAGCCACCACACCTGATTTATGTTTGGGAGGACCTCTCCCCCTATGATCTTCCACAGCCTCTTGTAGGCCAGAGAGTCCTGCTGTTGGACATCTGCCCCACCCATGATGGAATGGGGAGCAGGTGCAGGGAGCAGGCCCTGTGCCTGGCCATGTTCATGAGCACCCATCCCCTGACCAAACTCGGACAAGATGCCACTGTGCTATTAATAACTGGGTCTGGCCAGGCAGCAGGTGGCACATCTATAAAGCCAGGCTCGTCAGCCCTGAGCGGCTCCTTCAGCCCTGAGACCTTTAAGAAAAGTAAGTACCCAGACCATGGCCTCTTCTCAACCCTCGTCCGGCCCCACTTGGCTGCAGTGACCTCCAAAAGTTGAAAAGAACTGTGTTAAAACAAGACGCCCCCGCTGGCCTGTCTGAAGGGTGAACGATACACAGACCCTCATGGTCCTGAGCGGTTCATCCAAACAATGGGTGGAAGAGAGAGGGGGACATCCTCCATCCCGTCCCCCGTCAGCCCAAGAATGCATGCACGTCTCAGTGTGGGTGGTAAACGGCTGGGAACCAAAGAGGGGCCTCCCTGCCTCTGGGTCTGTGGCTTCGTGGGATTTTATAGTTTAGAAGCAACTTTATTTTGAGACAGTCTCACTGCGTAGCCCAGGCTGGCCTGGCACTCCCTATGTAGCCCAAGTTGGACTTGATCTCAGAGATCAACTTGCCTCTGCCTCCGAGTGCTGGGGTGACAGGTGTGCACCACCACACCCAGCTAAAGGCATCTTAGTGGTGGCCCTGCTTGCATAGGGGGACCCGGAGGTGTGTCCCCAACCTCCACCATCTGTCTAGACCCATTTGCCAAAGACCTACTGGTAGCTAGAGAGGAAACAAGGCGGGTCGTGTCTCAGAAAACCCTCAATTGTCTTTTCTGTGTAGACTTGGGGGGGACGGGTGACACAGGGACAGCTGAGGCCAGTGGTTGTCTCTGTCTCCTACCATCAGCTCCTCCCCTTTGGCCTTGGCTGGTCCCCGACTCAGCTTCAAGGATATCCCTCCCTTCCTGGCCCTTAGGGACCTGGCCTCTGGTGCCTGGTGCTCTTTGCATGTGGCAGTGTGGGCCCAGGTGGGGCCCTGGGTGTAACTGCTGATTAAGAGCCCAGCTCAGTGATGACAGAAGTATGGGGGTTGACAGGAGACACAGCATGGAAGGGGGAAGGCCACCCTGTCACCCGCCTCCATCTCCAAGCCCAGGGCTGTGTGGCAGCTCAGGGCACGTTGGACCAGGGGCAACAATCTTAAGTCCCAGGAACTAGGGAGATGACTGTGCGGCTGAAGAACTTTAGTTCCTCATAAACGTGAGGACCTGCCTTCAAACGGCCAGATCTCATGCCAAGCTGGACCCAGTGGGCTGAGTCTGTCATTGCCTATGTTGAGTTGGGGAATGAGGCAGGAGAAATCCTGAAAGCCCTGGGACTGGAGTTACAGACAGTAGTTAGCTGCCATGTGGGTGCTGGGATTTGAACCTGGGTCTTCTGCAAGAACAACCTAGCCTAGGGCGCACAGCTGCAAGCCACAAGAGACCCGGTTGCAAACAGGGTGGAAAGGAGGGTCCATCAAATGACTCTCTGCAGGACAGGCAACTCCAAGGCCCTTCCTCCTCTCTGTCAGTTGGGGCCCAACTCCACGGGTCAAGGTGGGGACACCCCCCTCCCCAGGCAGGGGACCTGACAGGCAGCTAAGTTCCTCAGGGCTAGGGAAGAATTTGGCTTGGAGAGGTGTCAGGCACAAGACTTGTGCTGTGGCCCTTGTGTGTCATGGCAGGGTGTCCTAGGCCTGGAGGGTCCTAAGGAGCATTCCCAGCCTCCACCCACTCCACACCAGGAGCTCCTAGAGCTGCAACAGCCATACATATCCTCAGATGCCACCCCAGGGCCCCAAGGAAGAGAGATTGCTGTTTTTTTCTGGTTTTGAGACAGGGTCACATATGGGCTGGCCTCCAGCTCACTATGTAGCTCAGGCTGTCTTGAGCTCCTGATCAACTCCCAAGTGTTGGGGTGACAGGCAAGCACAAACACACCCAAAATTCCCAGACCTGAGTTTGAATCTTGACTTTGCTGAGTGACTCTGGGGAGGTCGTATTCCCTCTCTGATCTCTACAAACCTGGAACATGCTACAAGCAGTTTCAAAACTCATTGATCCCCAAAACAGGAACCAACCTTCCCAGGATGTCTGGGTTGGGGAGAGGGGGAGTGGTGATCCTTGAGGACATGGAACTTTCAAAGTTGAATTTGAGTATGTTCCAGAGAGACTGAGTGAGCTGATCAGCCCAATACTACTGTTATTATCTTTTAAAATAATATGTGTGTGTGTATATGTGTGTGTATGTGTGTGTGTGTGCACGCGCACACACATAAGGTAAGAGGAAAACTTGCAGAAGTCAATTCCCTCCTTCCAACATGTGGGTCCTGGGGATTGAACTCAGGTTGTCAGGCTTGGCAAGAAGCCCCTTTACCTGCTGAGCCATCTTGCCAGCACCCAGTGAATAACAACCAACATATCTCAGTGGCCAGGCAGAATTGGCTGCCCTGAAACCACCTTTCCCATGTCCCATGTCTCATGATGAACTATTTTGGGGACAGTGACCAGCAGATCAGCCTGACTGTGCATGCCTGGGACAAAGTCCCAAGTTTGGCAAGACTGCTCAGTCCCTGGAGGGCAAAGGGACTTCACTAAGTGCCTGGTGCTGAAGTTGAATCCTTGTGACCATCCACACAGGGCCTCCTCTCAGGGTGATGGTGGATACCTTTAACTGCACAGGTGAGTCTTAGTCGTGTGGCTACTCTCATTGCTATGGACAGAAACAGGCTGTCCATCTCACCCACACAGGGGTGGGGAGGGGAGGGAGGACTTCCAAAAGTCAAGAAAAGTGAAATCTACTCTGGAGGCTGAGGTAGGAGGATCAGGAGTTCAGGGTCATCCTCAGCTACAGAACCAGTTCAAGGCCAGCCTTGGCTACATGAGACCCAGTCCCCGCAAAGAAACAAACAATCACCTAAGGTTGAAATCTGCATAAATCAAGTGTCATAAAATTGAATATATATATATATATATTTGTGAGATAGTCTCATATAGCCCAGGAAGGCCTCATAGTTGATAGTTAGTGATGACTATCCATCATCAAACCACCATTTATTCATCAGCTCATGCATCCATCCACCCACCCACACACACACCCATCCACCCACCCACACACCCACCCACCCACCTGTCCACTCATCCACACGTCCATCTGTCCAACCCCTATTTCCCTGACCATTTATCCATTCATCCATCCGCCCATTCACCCATCCACCCAACCATTCATCCATCCACACATTTACCCATCCATCCATCCACCTGTCCATCTGTCTACCTGTTCACCCATCCACTTGTCCATCTGTCCATCTACCCATCAACCCATCCACTCATCCACCCATCCATCCATCCACCCATCCACCCATCCATCTGTCCATCCATTTACCCATCCACTCATCCATATGTCCATCTGTCTATCCACCCACCCACCACTGAAGTATCTTTTTCTCCCTCCATAACTGAAATTGTATTTCCCCAGGTGGCTATGAGGTGTTGCCTTCAAGTCAAAGAATTGAATCTTGGGAAACTAGATTCAAATCCAGGCTTTACGAAGTTTCCCTGAGCCTTAGTTTCCTCTTCCACGAAATGGAAGTGTAAACTGTCACTGAGAGGCTGTGTGCAGTCCAGCAGACGTGGGTATCTGTGGGTGAGGGGACAGCCTGGGTTCCTGGACAGCAAGCACATGCTTTCTGGTTAATCAGGAGAGATTCCACATAAACTTACAAAGCTACATGGGCTTTGGTCACTGGACCTTGAAGAGGGAGATTTGGCCAAGAGAAAGGAAATCCTCAGGCCCTTCCTGAAGAATCTGCCAGAATCTCAACCTTCTGTAGCAGAGCAGTGATCAGGCTGCAAATAGCTGTTTGCTGTGTGACTTTGGGTACCACAGCAGCCTCTCTGTGCTTGTGAAAATTGGGAGACAAAGTGTCCTGCCTCAGTCAAGTTTGCATGAAATATATCCTTAGGGGAAACTGAGGCCCAGGGACACATCAACAGAGTTCCAAAGATGTGGAGACTGTCAGTATCCAGGGGCTCACAGAGTCAACCTCAGAGGCCACCAGAGACCCAGCAGAGGGGACCCAAGGGTCATTCCACAGAACACACTGGGCATGAGGGGTTATAAAAACAGGATTGAGTTTAATATTGACTTGGTGGTAAGTCAAGGGGGTGTGCCCAGGTGGATGCCAGAGCCCCACGACACCGAGTTGAGTGAACATTTGTTGTCCTGTGTACACATTCCCCAGAGGGGAACGGCCACAGCATCCAGCCAGGACAAGCCAGACCTGGCCATTCTATGTCTGGAATCAAACCTGGTGCCCCGAGTCTTCATCCTAGAAGCTGTTCAGCAATGTGTTCTGAACATCTTCCAGAACCTGATGGAAGAGTTCCTCCCGGGACTTCATGCCGTCTAAACACACTGAAACCAGAAATGGCACGGATCAGGGCTGGGCCCAGGCGGGAGGCTTGAGTGGACTGCTGGGTCAGGAAGGAAGCAAGGAAGACCAAGAGAGACTCACAGAGGGACCTCCAGGTTTCCCAGTGGGAGTGGGGCTGACCTAGGGTTAGAATATGGGTAGGACCCACTTTGGGACTTACCCACTTCCACTCCGTCCCGCTCCATCTCCTGTTTGTACTTCTGGTACATGGGCCACACGTGGCCGTCAAAGAGGCCAGGGGGATCAGGGACCGTATAGTTACGCTTACTGAAGAGAGCAAGAAAAAACAATGGACTGGTCAAGGGTGGCACCAGCACCTGATGGATACCACGGTCTGTGTGACCATGTTCCTCATGCTGCCTGCCCCCTACCTCCTCCTCCTCTTGCATTCTTCATACGGGACAGTCAGGAAGTAGCGACGACTATACAGGTCCAGCAGGGGCCTGGGGAGGGGTTTGAGGGACATGGTCAGCTGACATCTTGGTAACAACCCCACACATCCTCCCACTCCCCCATCTAGAAAGGCACAGAGAGGTCAACCATGCTACCCTAGGTCACACGGCAGGGCCTGAACCCCTTTGGTCTGAGAAGACTGAGATTCTAGAAGGTTCTCCGAGTCTTCCTAGGGCAGGACACATTGCTTACTTGTAGCTGTATAGTAGGAAACCTTCGATCAGCAGTATGTGGGTACCCGGGTCGTGGGGCTGGAGGGTAACCCCATGTGCCCGGGCGAACTTCTGAGGTTTTTTTACCCAGGCCTTCACGGTGCCCAGCATGGCTTCCATATCTAAAGATTCAAGCACTGGGTAGGGGGAGAGAGGAGGGGTTTAGAGTAAGGCTTGGACCCATGGAGGACTCTGTGGGTGGGGGACAATGGAGTGACTGTCCTTACCATCCCACTGTTTGAATCCATCATCCCCAACTGGTATTTGGTCCTGAGGCTGAAACACAGGAGTGTAAGCCCAGGGCTCAGACTTGCCCAGCTCACCTCACCTTTGGGTTTCCTAGAGTGTGTAGTGGGGACACACAGAGAGGGGTTTGCCGACCACCCCCCAAAGCCACCAACCCACAGGTGCCAAGGTTCTGAGTCTGTTGGGGGAGCAGGCTGACTCTCTCTCTGCCCTTCATTCCTTTTGAGTCCAGTTTAAATATTTTGTTTATTTATTTTTATTTTTATTTTTTGGTCTTTTTGATACAGGGTCTCCCTGTAGCCCCAGCTGTCCTGGAACTCACTATGTAGACCAGGCTGGCCTCGAACTCACAGAGATCTGCCTGCCTCTGCCTCCATAGTGCTGGGATTAAAAGCATGCGCCACCACGCCCGGCCATTTATTTATTTTTAAATGTTATGTGTATGAGTGTTTTGCCTGCATGTGTATAAGTGTACCATGTGCATGCAATCCCCACAGAGACCAGAGAGGGTGTTGGATTCTGGAACTGGCGTTACAGATGGTTGTTAGGTGCCATGTGGGTACTGGGAACTGAACCCAGGTCCTCTGCAAGAGTAATCAGTGTTCCTAACCACAGAGCCAGTTCTCTAACTTCTTGAGCTAATTTTATAGAAGGGAAAGTAGAAGTGCAAAGGATTATGGATAAAAAACAAGCTGGAAACAGTACAGCTAACCCTCCCTCTCTCAGTCAGCCTAATGGGGTCCCCAGTATAGGGGGATTACTTTGGGAATATGTTGGGCTCATACAGTCAGGGTCCACCCCACCCCCCTACACCCTGCACCCCCTCCAGCCCTCTTCCACCCTCCATCCCTCAGTGGCCACCTTGAAGAAGTCATCTTGATGAATCACACAGCAGTTGGGCAGTGCCTTCTGGAGGCTGTTAGTCAGAGTGGTCTTGCCACCATTGGTCATACTGTAAAAACACGGTGTGTGAGGCTGCTGGGCACGGGGAAGTGTGTCGAACCATGCCCAAGCCTCATGTGGCTAGGCCAGCACTCACTGCTAAGCTGTGCCCCAGCCCATAAAGCTATTTATTTCTGTTATTCATTGTGGGTACGCGTGTGGAGGTCAGAAGACAACCTGTGAGAGTCGGTTCTCTCCTTCCACCGCGTGCACCCCGGGGATCAAACTCAAGTCCTGAGGCTTTGCTGCAGGCATCTATACCTGCTGAGCCATCTTGAGGGCCCGAGCTATATATTTATTTTATTTTATTTTATTTT